CTTCATGTTTCCTTACTTTCTTGAATGTTCAGTCGAATTTTGCAGACTGCTGCTCAGAACTTTGTATGAAGTGTAGTCCCCTGTGAGTTTTCTCCCAGGAGCAGCATTTTAACATATCCAGGATTTGAACACCCCAGGATTTCTATTGAGCAGGGGGGAGATGTAGTTTAAGCAATTCATTTGATTAAAAGTGCTGTAAAGAAGGACATATTCTGTTGTTTTTGTCTCACCATTGCCACAGCGACAGCATCTTTGATTAAAAGGAATCTTTTTGTATCGCCCTGGTACTACTGCTGTTGGGAGGGCTTGCCATCTAGTGAGAGTGAACACCCTCTGATGGCTTGGTATCTCCAGCTGAAATAGGTATTTCGCTAGGGCGGCTGACTGCATATCTGACTTGTGAAGCTAGAAAGGCTGGTGATCTTGCTACATCACACTGCCATTTGCTGTCTAAGGCCCTTTGCTTTATCGAAGGTTTTGCTTGCTCAAGTCCCATTTTCAAAATCAAGTGAGGAGAAAATGTTGCGAAGGATATCCTGGGAGGCTAAGCCACCACCCTTAACAAGATTCATCCTCCTTGTGACCATTTCAAATTCCCACCTACCCCACTGCAGTGGGGTTCCCAGCAGGAAATTAAAAAGAAAAATATAAACTGGATTTGAGGCAACAGGACCTGGGACCGTGTTACCCCCCCCCCACACACACACACTCAAGCCAGGGACGTTCATTGAGATAAAACAGACAGTTATAAGACGATTTAAAAAAATAAATAAAGTGAACAAGAATGAAGCTTATTTTAAAAAGAAACAACTTGAGTTACATATTATTGCTTCCATGAAATGAACCCTCAAAACCTAATGCCTAACTCTCTATTCCCACAAATCTCCTTTAACATAAGAACATAAGAGACGCCAATGTTGGATCAGGCCAAAGGCCCATCCAGTCCAACACTCTGTATCACACAGTGGCTAGAAATACCAGTGCCATCAGGAGGTCCACCAGTGGGGCCAGGACATTAGAAGCCATCCCACTGTTGACCCCCCCGCCCCAGAGCCCCTAGCTATACCTTGTGGCTAATAGCCACTGATGGACCTCTGCTCCATATGCTTATCTAATTCCCTTTTGAAGCCGTCCATGCTTGTAGCCACCACCACTTCCTGTGGCAGTAAATTCCATGTGTTAATCACTCTTTGGGTGAAGAAGTACTTCCTTTTATCCATTCTAACCCGACCGCTCAGCAATTTCATTGAGTGCCCACGAATTCTTGTATTGTGAGAAAGGGAGAAAAGTACCTCTTTCTCTACCTGCTCTTTCCCATGCATAATCTTATAAACCTCGATCATGTCACCCCTCAGTCGTCTTTTCTCCAAGCTAAAGAAGGATTGAGTAGACGCGGGGGAAATCGCACGAAGCTGCGGGGCAAAATGCGGTCACGCAGCAGCCGTATGGAAAGTGTTCCAATACTTTTACCATTCGAGTTGCCCTTTTCTGCACTTTTTCCAAAGCTATAATATCTTTTTTAAGGTGTGGTGACCAGAACTGCACACAGTATTCCAAATGAGGTTGCACTATTGATTTATATAGGGGCATCATGATATTGGCTGATCTGTTTTCAATACCCTTCCTAATAATCCCCAGCATAGCATTGGCCTTCTTTATTGCAGTCACACACTGTCTCGACATTTTCAGTGAGTTATCCACTACAACTCCAAGATCTCTCTCTTGCTCAGTCTCTGCCAGTTCAGACCCCATCAATGTGTATTTATATTTAGGATTTTTGGCTCCAATGTGCATCACCTTGCACTTGGCCACATTGAACCCCATTTGCCATGTTGACACCCAATTCAGCAGTCTGTCTTTCTAATCTCCCTTACAAATTCCTTTGTGAGAGAACGGCTGCTCTTAGGTCAGCAACTGAATGTCCTGGAAGGTTAAATTGTCCCCCCGCTGCTTTGAATGTTGTGGTTTCTGATGTCAGACCTATGTCCATCAATTCTTTGTTGAAGGGACTGGCCTGTTTGTCCAGTGTAGAGGATGGAAGGTGTAGTGTATTCCAAAGCTGCCATGGAATGCAGAATGTATGTGAAACATCTCATAGACTTGTAATGTTAAGCTTCATCCTGGGCTAGGATCCAAAGTCATCCAATGGTATTTTTAGCCCAGGAAGTAACAAGCCAATCACTTCGCAGCAAGCTCCCTGAGCGGGAACGGCCATGATTGGTCCCTTATGTGAACAACCTTATTGGTTGGTATGTGTACAGTGGGTGTGGCTATATTAGCCGGGAATGTTTAAAAGCAGGACAGCTGTGATGTAAAGGCTGTTCTGGCAATCAGATGTTGATCCGTGTTGGAGTTGTGTTCGAGTTGAAGAATAAAGCTGTGTTCTTGCTGAATCATTCTCTGACTTCCTTTGTTAAGCGAGCGACTTAACAGAAGGGCATTGCTGACATGTAATGGCATAAATCACATTAGAGGATGAGCAAGAGTCGGAAGCTGAGAGGGTCTGGCTGATGTTGCTGGATCCAGTGCGGATGTCACGAAGTTGTTCAGGGTGGTGAGAACCAGGGA